CTCTCCTTGATTATCCCAGTGACATCAGGGGATGGATGGCACCGAATTTCCTTAATTTTAAAGGAAAAAAAAGATTGGGGTCATGCTTTTTAAATCCAGTAGCTCCAGCTGTATCCCTACCTTTGACTTTTCCTCCTTGGCCATACATGAAAAATCCAGCATCACTAATTTAGGTGTGAAAATGGACCCCAGCCTAAAACTTAACCGCCACATGCAAGTCGAGTCCTCCCTGTTTTTAAGTGCTTTCAGTTGAGGCAGCTGTCAAAAATCAAGCCCATCCTGTCTAGATCCCACCTAAAGGCATCACCTCTCGTCTGGATTATTGTTACTCTGCCTCCCTCTCACGTCTACACCCGTTACAAAAACGCTGCTGCACGATTTTCACGACCCTGTCGGCTTGTGGCCTTCATCGGGGTCATGATGAAGCCGAAACGCGTTGGTCTGGTAACCTAATAACTTCTCCATGCACCTGGGACGTAGGTGAAATTGTGCCAGAAAAGCAAACAAGAGCACATAACTCAGATTTTAGCGTAGTACTATTTCAAATCTGGCATTTATGAATGAACTTGTAGCTGATTCAATGTTTTACACTTGATCTCTCATTTTTTTCTACAGCACTTATGTTGTTTTTAAGTGCTTTGGAAATAAAGTGATGATCGTGATGATGAAGTGCATGGGAGCAGATATGCATACACAGACACTTAAATGCTCATTTCCAGCTCCACAAATTTTGTTGTTGGACTCCAGAGTAGCTTCCTGTGATTTTCTGCTTAAAACAATCTTTATTTATCTTATACTGGACCTCAGGACATACTTTAAACCAACCTGCTTTCTGATTGGCTGCCTTTCACAGAAGATTTCAGCCGCAGGTGGTTGGTACCAAGGTCGGTATGACCATCCACCATTTTAACAGTAGAAAATGAGGAAAGGAACAACAGGTCAGCACAGGGCTGGACTGTATTTGAGCTGTCTGTGCATGACTCTGAGTTAGCTTCCTCTTTAGTTCAACTTCTGTAATCAGCTGTGGAGCTTGTGGCTTCTGAAGATCACTGAATGAATCAGGTTTTTTTTGCCTCCCCTCTGAACACAGTCCCACTTAACCACTGAGCTGCTGATGAGCCCTCTATTAAAAACGCAACATACCTTTAAAATCAAGGTCCATTTAACCCAACATCTGCTGTCAGGGGTCACACAAAGGTCATTATCAACCCAAGTTAACCTCTGGTTTCTCAATGATCACGTTCACATGACGGAGGCGGTGCTGTATGATTCACCAGAACCACAGACAGGCCTATTGTCAGCAGACCAGTTGAAAAAACTGACAGATGAGCAGTGTTTAAAAGCTCTGTACGGATGATCATCACTACAAAGAGCTGGTGCATTTGTAAAGTTTAAAGGAAGGAGTGTAATTGAACTGATTAGTATTACATCACTGAGTTCACTGAGACTCGGGAAAATCTGACAGATGAAATCCGTGTTCAGATATGCGGAAGACAGTGTCGGTTTTTAAAATCTCTCAGCTGCAGCCCCGAGAGTGTGAGAGCAGGTACAGAACAAGTATAAAAGCACAATTCAAATGTCAGCCTAGCGCACATGCAAATGTGATATAAAGGTCAACAAGTACAAACATAGGTGCCTTGTTTTCAGATATTAGAGCTGATAGGGAGGATAAAATTAGTAGAAATCTATTTTTCTACTAATGTGCGTCAGGGAAAGACAATACTTTAAAAACTTCCTCTTACTCTCAGCACACTGAGGTCTGAGGCATCTTTCCAGGTCGCAGCCTGCTCTGCAGCAGGTTGTGTCTGCAGCAGAAGTTAACATTGCGATGTATACCAGCAAGAAGTGAACTGCCTTCATAATACTGAAAACCTTCTTCTCCTCCTTCTTTTCCATAAGTGGTCGTCACAGCAGACCATCTGCCCCCATCCCAGCATCCACCTCTGTCACACCGACCCTCTGCATGTCCTCCTTCACTACATCCATGAATCTTCTTCATCATCCTCTCTGCCTCTGCTGCACATGTGCAACCCATTTCTGCCTCTCTGACTCTGAGCTGCCCCTCTGATGGATTCATTTCAAATGCTGCTCTCACCTCTGGTTCCAAGTCTATCTTTCCATCCCAGGGATTGAACCGGTGACCTTCAGGTCTGTGCGCTGCCCCAGAGAGGAGTCGTTTTCACTCGGCACGCAACGTACACAGAAACGATGTCCTTTGTGACTTTGGGCTGTCAGCTGTGTTTTGTGTTCCTCGAGTTTAACAGGGAACCGACGGCACAATCGGTTAATTCAAGAAAGCAACTGGTCTGTTTTGTTTTTTTCATCTGCGATAATATTTCCAAGGTCTGATTCTCATTCGGCAGTCCGATAAAGAAAGCCCCGAGTTTCTTTGAACAATAATTTCTGAGCAATCCCGTTTTACTCCCAGGAAGTGATTGTAGCGTTGTCTGCTTGTGGCACAGAAGGACAGTAACGTGTTCATTCAGTGAGACAGTCGAACCTTTCAGCACAAAAACTGAGATAAACACTGAAACTGCACACCGCCTTGTTTTCTATAAATGTTGAGCTGCCACATATACAATCAGATATACTTGCTATCTCCACTCTAATCTCCTCTGACTGTAATTATTACAGACATCAGCAGCACGATGTTGTGGAGAGTGTTGCTATTTTCCCTCGTCGTCCCCTCAGCGTTTGTGTAATGGAGCTGAGCCTTTTCCGGTTATTGTGTGAGAGCGACTGAGAGAGGGTTGGGGAGGGGAGGGCAGGGCATTTGGGGGGTTGGTTAGGGTTAGCGGCCGGAGTCTGAATATCTGGGACATACAAATACACACTCACGCACACAGAGGGCACAAGGACAGACTGATTGCCAGACAATCTGTTGGAGGCAGATCTGCATGAGCATGAATAGGGCTTACTGTCTAACCGAGCACACTGATATGAAAACATCAGCGCATACGTGAATACAAACACACCGACGCGCAGCCCGCTGGGGTTACACTTGTGTGCGTAGACTGACCAGAGCCGACCAGTGTTTTCCGCCTAAGTCATGAGAAGTAAACCGGATGCTGCGAGCCAGTTTGGCAGCGGTTGTAAAGGGCGGCGAGTCGAGTGGGAAAGAATGACTGCACAGTATGTGACGACAGCGACAGCAGAAAGATGTGCACGCGAAGCGGGTGAAGATAAGGAAGGGGGGCATTAAGAAGGGAGATGCTTTTGGGGTTTTGAGGCCTGGGATAACTCTAATCCGCACAATCCAGGTCACTTCCATCTCTACCTTCACACACACACACACACACACACACACACACACACACACCTCGGATATTCATATCTTGTGGGGACATCTAATTGACATAATGCTTTCCCTGGCCCCTTACCCTTAACCTAACCATCAAAAATGAATGCCTAACCCTAGCCCTTACCCTAAATATAACTATAACCCAAATGTAACCCTGACGCTAAAACCACATTTTGAGCCTCAAAAATGCCTTAAAATGTGTGGTCCCCATAAGGGCTGTTGGCCCCCACAAGTATTGTAATTGTCCAATTTTTGGTCCCCACAAAGATATCCCCACACACACTCAAATAGTAGTCCAACCCATGCACTGCCATTCCAGATTTCCCTTTAACCAACTGACAGTGAGACTAGGGGATAGGATGGGACTAAGAGGGAGGAAGGAGGAGGGGATGTGAAAGGACACAAGGTTCTGACCTAATGTTGTGCCAAAGAAGAGAGGAAAAGAGCTGGGAGAAACACTGGGAGATGAAGGCAGGAAGAGAAGGAGGAGGGAGGAGAAGGGGGTGCAGAGACCCAAAATAGTGTGACAGAGAGAAAAAGGAAGAGAAGAGCGAGGCCTTGAAAGGGGGGACGGGAAGACACAGAAGTTGAGAATAGATTGAAGAAAGAAAAAAAAAGGCCTGCAGCGCCAAAATACGTCACTCTCTTCCTCTCTCAAGGAAAAAAATGTTCATCTCATTGCTCTCCTTCATGTCTCCTTGCCGTGTTCTGGCGCTGCTCAGAAGACAAAGCGGGAGACGAGAGGGCAAAAGAGAACAGAGAGGAGCACGAAACAGGGCAGGAGCAGAGTTAGAGAGGGGTTACAGGGAGGAGGTGAGAGGCTGGAGAGGAGTTAGAAAGATCAGAGGGAGAGGGGGATGACAGATAGACAGAGAGAGGGGACCTCCTGTGGATCATCATCTGCCACATCCATTCACCCGCCTGCAGCTATACCAGAGTGTTGTTCCTAATTCTTAATCGCTGTTAATCCCTCCGCCACCCATCATCTCTCTCCGGCTCCAGCTTTTATTCCTGCCCCTCATTACACAACAGCCGGCTACACGCTGCTAAAGCAAAGGGAGCAACTAAGGACTGTAGTATATTCATTACTAATGAATCTCTCTGCATTTTTTATTAATCAAATCTACAAAATTAGGTCGTGTTTGGGAGACACATTTGTAGAAAGTGAGCATTGTTAAAACTGTTGTTCTTTTGAGCTAATCCAGCTGTTTTCAAACCTTTCTGGCTGGTTACCAAAGCAGTATGGACTCATGATGCCCATCAAATAGCCTTTGTCTGCTTTGTGACAGCAGTTTACCATTTACAGTTTCAGAAACCTTCACTTTTTACATTTTTAGCATTTGATGTCAGCGAGAAGACGTTTCTCTGTTGTTCTACTCTAATAAAAACGCAAGAATAGCAATATGGAGATGGAACGAACACGCCAGGTCCCATCCAAGGACACGACTCAACGCCGTCATCTCACTAACTGGTTACTTCCTCTCTTACACGAACTGTCAACACAGACATCTCCAATAAAAGCGGAGGTGTTGACAGTTATTGTCTGAATTGGAGAACTTTACACTCCGCCGAAGTACCGTGAGCTGTAACAATGAGGATGTATATTGTGTGGGCAGGCGGGGTAATGGGTCCACGCTGAGCAATCAACTGAGTGAAATGGAGCAGTGAAGATTTTATTGACATCCGTTCGCGAACTGACCGGTGAAGACGTCGCCGTTGCTGTAGGCCTTGCCGCGTCCCTCCTCATCGCTGGGCACGGCCGACACCTGCTTGGCCGAGGTGCAGCCCATGGCCTCACACTCTGAAACTTCTCCTCATCGCACTCTCACCTGCACAGAGAGAGAAAACAAGACTTCGTATTCACGACAGACACAATAAAACGAACAGCGCTGTTGTTTTTACGGCGCTCTGTCAAACATGATCGACGGTTTGAGCTTTTATGGCGACTCCCGATCGGTGCAAAATGTCGTTTATGTTGTTTTTTTTCCATGCAGCACAACCCTCAGAGATGACTTGTCTTCATTTTCCCATCCTTTCCATCCCTCTGAATCAGGAAACCAAAGCACGCTTCACAGAAGTGTGAATTCACACCTGGCATTAAGAGGCTCAGTAGAAAGAGAAATGCACATTTATAGCGCATGCTGCAGGTTATTACTTCCTCATAAGAGTTTCTTTCAGAGCTAAAAATAGCCACTGCCATTAAATACATGGAGCAGCAGCAGCAGGGGTGCAGTGCAGGGTAAATAAAGAGCATAACCCATCTGATATATGCTTTATGCTTTTTATTCTTGTTATACAAAACACCTAAAAAAACTAAAAGAAATGCATAAATAAATAAATGTGTTTTGTGAAACTGAACACAAATGTATTTAAATGTGAAAACTTACAGAGCTAGTCACACCTGAATATTTGGACTTTTGATCTGAAAACATTACTAAGTGATGTTTATAGAAAACCTCTTGGTTGCCTGCGCAAGCAGCAACATCAGCATCCGTACCTTTGGCTGCTTGGTGAATATTCACCACCCTCAAAGTTCTGTTTGTCTCCAGCTGTTAAATGTCCAGTTCCCTCTTTTGCTAAATGCCAAACTATGTTCCTCCGATAGATGTTTGCCGTCTATCTGCAGTGGGCCGTGAAACTGCCAGTGTAAAATACACTGTGTCTGTGAAAACTAAATTAACGGGTGAGCTAAGAGAGTGAAGCTGTTGGTCTAAACAACCAAAAATAATTAGCTGAACTCTACCAGTATCACAGGAGCTGCAGGTGGGCTGATCAGTGACACAGTTCAGGTGTTATTTAGTCTTTGGATTCATTAATACAGAGTTAATGACTCTGCACTTATCACAGTCATTAATTGCAGAGTTAAACTAAAAACTAATTACAGCACAGCCCGCATAGATTTTGTGCCAGATAGCAATGCTGATTTTTATTAGTGAGAAGATAATACTAAAATATTATCCCCAGTATAAGTGGCTGCAAACGAAAAATACCAAGTTCAAGGACAGGGGAGGAGACACAAACCAACCTCAGGGGGTCACGAGTCCAAACATCTGGCATCAAAATCTGCCAAAGCTGCTGAAACTACCCCTTCTTCTAATATCCTGCAAAAAATTCAACATAAAAAGAATAGGTACATATTACTATATATAAATAGCTCATTAGAAACCTCACCTAAAATTACACCAAGCGTTTCCAGTAGTGACAGTGCATGTATATCATGAGTTATCTGAAATGTAGGAGAAAAAGGCAACTTCAGATGACCCCTCCCTGATTTGTTCAACTGTCTGTCCAAAGTTCATGAATGTAAATGTCTGACTAGCTGTATTTATGAAGTTACACAGAAAAGGAGAAGTGATGGGATTTTATGGGAACTACATAGCAAGTTAATGTGATTATTGCACCACTATCTGCTCAGTAGTGATGCTTCTCTGCTACATGAAGCCAACATTGCTGAAGAGATAAACCCTTCCCTAGATTACACCAATTTGTGTTACCATCCATTAAAAATAAACAAACAAAAAAAATTGTTTTGCATATCGGGCACCATGATATAAGGATGCACTGATCTGTTGACACAGAGTAAAAATCCAATAGCTGTGTTAAATGAGCGAGGTGTTCCTACTCTGAGGAAGACACTGCGATTATTCTTATATGGACTGTTAACATCATCAGGATCAACAACAAAAGTGTAAACAGGACTGCGATGCATAAAATGAACGATAAAGTCTCTCTACATGAGCAAATGCTGCTCTGCTACTGACTGTGACACAGCAAACGCAGAGCAACAGGGAGCCACGTTCACCGCATCAGCATCGACCTTTTCCAGTCCGGATATCCAATCCAAATATCAGATTGGTGATCTGATCTACCTGGAACATCGGCGATACGAATACGGCTCTGTGCTATTATACTGTTTGGCCTGTTCATGCTGTTGGTAAACTGATATACTTAAAATTTGAAATGAATATTTTATTTCTAGATAGACAGACATTGCATATATGCTAAAAAGTGTAATTTTGGCCTGTTGCTAGGCGGTTGCTAGCCATGCATAATGAAACTTTTGTGGATATGAGTTTGATGTCACTCCCCTGAAACACATTTTTTTTATGAGGTGTTGAAAGTTCATAAATGCTAAAAACGAATAGTTTTCATCTGTTGCTAGGCAACTTGATGCATTTTTAATGCCTGATATAGATGAGAACCATCAGATAAGTAGTAAAGCACCTGTAGTTCAAGTTTGAGTGCAGATGGTCTCGGAGGAGTTTACAGACAAAGACACCAACAGACTGATTTTATACATTACAGTAATATTTTCACTTTCAGCAAACCTGTAACCTGTAAACCAGTCTGACTCGGCCGTTAAGTCTCTGTAATTACTTCAACGCACACACACACACACACACACACACACACACACACACACACACACACACACACACACACACACCTGATTAAATCTGTGCCGCCGGTACATAAATAATAAGAGGCAGGGTGAGGAAGAGGCTTTTTGAAGACACTGAAAATAGAGAGAAAAAGACAAAGAAAGGGAGGGTGGGTTGAGCTGAAGGGGGACAAGGTGGAAGGAAAAGGTCTACAATAGGTGGGACAGAAAGGGTCCAGAGAGGAGGACGAGTGCACAGCTTCAAAAGAACGCCGCCTGGCCCTCGCTGCTCCTTCAGAGCGTTTGAAGTTGACAGGAGGCCGTCTTTAGGTTGCGGCCCACCAGCTTCCATCTCACTGGATATGACACAAAGCACCAGGTGCACAGCGCTCGAGTACCTGCGTGTGCAGGTACTATGTAGCCCAGAATTTACTGGCCAGTATTATCAGCAAACTAAGCTGCTGCTGTTCCCTTTATCACAGGCTGCTTCATTCACTGTCACTTGGCAGGTTGTCACTCGGTGAGGCAGCAGAGGAGTGTCGAGGAGACTGCAACAATTCTCAGGAACAAACCATACATAGCAAAAAAAAGAAGCATCCTGAAATTAATTATCTTTCGTTGCTCCTTTGAGACTCTGAGGTGTGTGAATATTCAGTGCAAGATGAGAGAACTCATATGAATCCCTTTCTCAGCTCTGCAGGAGAAAAGACATTAATCTCTGGAGCCTGAGCAGAGCTTACACATGAATTTCTCTAAGGGCCTACAGGCAAGAGGGAGTAATACCTTGAGGGCAAGAATCCAGACACTTAGACACACACATGCAAGCTCGGGATGAGTGTGTAGGGTCACCTGTGGCTTGAGTAGGAGTTCTGGTCTAGAGAGCAGCTTATCAGCCCGTCCCAGGCAGCCTGGGATACCTCTTACTACAACTACCACTCTGGAACAACTCAATTATGCCTCACATGTGCTCATAAAGCCACCATCACCTCACACACAGCTGGGAGATCTTAATGCAGCAGTCTGAGGCACGCTGTCGTAAAGACACAGCAATAATCGCATCCCGCATTATCTGTCTCTTGACATTGGCACATAAATGAGGGAAGAAGCACGAGGCATGCACCTGGAAACGCTGCCGGAGGAGCCCATGTTATCTGTCAGAGTTACATCACAGTGAAGTGGAGAATCAAATGCCAGAGATGGAGAAAAAAAGATAGAAAAAGAACATGCCAACAAAGGTAACGGGAGAGAGGACACCAAGACCGAGCAGTCAAGTCTCTCTTCACTATTAGCGTACAACTGAAGTGAATATTAGATGAACAAAGCACAGAAACTCCCTTTCCGAAAACCACCGGAGGACGTACGCTGAGAAATGTGAGCAGCCGTGATAGACGTGAAGTTTCAAAGGGTCTCTAGTGTGTGGGCAGCATCTGTTTGAAGGCTTTGATTTGTGTGTATTGAAACATCAAATTGTGAGTAGGAGCAGGCTTAAAATAGACCTAGCACTCCCAGAGCTATTGTTGTGTGCAGGGATAATGCTAGGCTGTGGATCCTTAGGCCAAGCTGCTATTACTCGGGTTATGCATATAAGCTACAGCCAGAACGGCAGACTATTACACAGCCAAACACACCTATAAATAAATAACACCAAGGCCAAAGGCTCAGACATTCTTCAGTGGCGCATAATTCAAGAAGTCACATCCTTTCAAAATCAGACTTCTGCTCATTTTAACACTTGGTCTTCTCACAAGCATCACAAAAATCTTTGGCAGGTTTTAACGAGGAATGCTTACATGAAGGGTTGAGTGTTGGTTTCATCATAGATAATATATTTTCAGAGCTGCACAATCAGAAACACATGTAGAGGTTTGAACACCAGACACCCAACAATATATATTATGTCCTTCAAGTTCAACTTTATCAGTATTTGTTTTATCTATTATGGTGTAGTTATCTCACTTCGGTTATTTTTTGCTGCCAAACCTACTGAGATATTGCTAAGACAGAATCAGTCTGCAAACAATCTACTAAAAGTCTGCCAACAGTCTTCCAACAGACTGCCAACAGACTGCCAACAGTCTGCCAACAGTCTACCAACAGTCTGCCAACAGTCTGCTACAAGTCTGCCAACAGACTTCCAATAGTCTACCAACAGTCTGCCATTGAACTGGGTCATTTCCATTGTTTGCTGATGATTCACCAATTAGCTGTGATAAGTCATCAAAAATCACACATTTGTTGTTGCCTACATGGACAGAATTTCACATTTAATCAAACTTCATAATAATAATAATAATAATAATAATAATAATAATAATAATAATAATAATACTTTAAAGAATTCATAATCTGCACACAAAATATGGAGATACCAATCTGAATTGATTCTCCAGCTTTAAACCTCCACCTCTAAACACGTGCATTTTGCTCAAAATATGTCTTAAATCGCCACTGTAACACATCAGTATTAACAATGCAAATGTGAAAATTGTTTTTTGGTTGACGTTTTTTTTTTTTTTTTTTTAATTAAGTCAATTTTTACCTCTTTATGTAGAGCAAAGTGCAGGTAAATGGCTTTTTGAGGGAACTGCACAGTTTAATTTACAAACTACAATAAAACGCTTCGACAAAAAGCCACCAAAGGCTCGTCCACTGTGCTGCTGCACGAGCCGCGCTGGCATTGTACGTTTGCACGTGTTCCACTGTACAGTGAGATCAGTGCATACACTTTTAGGACTGGCAACTCCAGCAGGAATCAGCCCGAGTTAGTACTGAGCTCTGCCCAATGCGCTATTCTGTGCCACGTGCAAAACCACAGTGGGGCGTTGCTCAGCTTTGATTTAAATACGGGAAAAAAAATCCACACCACAGTGTGGGCCAGCTGTTGAGACGGAAAAAAAATGTGCTCAGCCAATTTTTACCTATTGAAGACGTGTTACAAATAAATAAGTAAAAACTGGGAGTTCTGCAGTGTGTGAGCTCTGTTTTTTCCAGTGTTGATTTAACCCACAGGACAGCAGGACTGAGCTGCTCTGTAGATGCTCAAGTATGTCAATGGGACAAGCCTGGCAACTCAGTGTATACACACACGGGCCATGTTGGCTCACAAGCTGAGCCAACATGGCCCGATAAACATCCAGTGTGTGAAAAGGATAAAAGGTTCTTAACACCAACTGGCACACGACCGCCTCTGGATCCAGATGCTCAAGATTCATTATGAGCATATGGGCCAAAACAGAGGGGCAACCCAGTTTAAAGATAAAGAAGTTGTGATGTCAGCTAGCAGCTCTTGCGTCATTCAAGCCAATCTTACCCCAGATTTGGCGCAGAGCCTCCTGTTGCTGTTTCACCTCGTAAGCAATTGTAAGCAGTTTGAAACAATAATCCTGAGCCAGGCGATACAAAGAGCTCTTCTTAAATGCAGACCAAGTTGTATATTTAACACATGGCAAATAACCAGACCCTGAAAATTATTTGGCAAACACAGAGGCCTGCCCATGCCTGCATATGTTGGTGTGGGACGTGACCTGCCCTCAGGTCTGTGAACAAGCCTCCTTTACAAGTCAGTTTGTTAAAGGAGGAACTCAGAAAGCGCTGTGAGGAAGATGTGAATGCTTGCACAAACACAGGTCGTGCACACAGACCGAGTAGTGTGCAGTGCAAGGGTTTCTCAAATGCAAGATTGTGCCAGAGGGAGCACAAGCAACCACAGAGCCTGAAAAA